TTTAGGTCCAATGATGCAAAAGGCTCATCTTCAACGTTATCGATGCAATGACAAATAAATGATTGAGAAACTTCTGAATCATATATCGTCGCTACCTATCAGAAAGGATTTTTTTAATACACTCAAATGTTGCACTTTTCATTGTAATGCAAACAGGGAGTTATAACACCGACGTAAAAAAGCTGACTATTACAACACAGACAAACGTCTTATCTATTCGACGCTGGCAATCACTGCATGACTTGGCTTGTTGGAGATCTTCACTTTTTCTAAAACAGGTTCAAGAGTTGACATAGATTAGCCATATTTTTCACATCTGCGAAAAAGCATCAAATTATCAAGTGTCGGAATAATTCATGATTTCCCAAAATCGATAAAAGCAATTCTTTTGTGCTTTATTGGCAGGGCAGATATTAAAAGATCTATCCTAATCAGTTAAGACATTTCGAATTGAATACAATTAACTCAAGAATAAACATCCAAGAAATTTAAAAAAAAATGACTCTGTGTCACTTTTTTGTTCTTACCACATTTTGACGTCATCTGTGATCTATTACTGAACAGACGCACAGCAACTTGGAATCTATTTGTTAATCTGACCAAGTGGTTACCTACATATTTTTTAGCATAATGCAAGAAATCCGTATCAGTACGTGAACATAGCTCAGACGCTTCACTACATTGAATTTCGATTTCAGCGACTGTCCTCTTAGTTACCTGCTCTGGAAGCAAAATTATCATATCACAAGCGTCTTCAACACAACCCGAATATGCTTGTTTTGTGAGACGAACCATTATTGATTTAGCGATTTGGGTAGAACATCAAAAAGCATAGTTATGCCAGTAACCATGGTCAAGTTGTACAATTCGCTTTTCCGAGGTAGAACCAATTCTTCCGTAAAACCCAAATTCTGAGAAGATTTGAATTACTTCCTCCTCTTCTTTTTTTTTTGTCCTACCTCAACCGTTCACAAATCTCTTAACTCCTTTTTCTTCAATTTAGGCTAACATGTGATTTAACGAATGTTCTAATTTCTTTCCACACGTTCTTCACATGTCTTTTTCGTTCAGTTTTCCGTGTCAGTTTACTTTAAGAGAATTCAAGGCCAACTTAACGAATATTTCGTATCAATGAAACATACTCGGACGAATTTGGTGAGCATTAATCATAGAACGCAAACTCATTTTACTAAGCAAAGTCAGGCTTAAATTATCAAAAGGACCGGCCATCTTGAAATTGGAATACGCCTCGTTAACAAACTCAACAGTTTTGACCTTAAAATTGGCCAACACACTGGTATCAATATAGGGGAAGTAAATAATGGCAGCACATTATATCAGTGGCAGGGTGGAGTTCAGCTGACACATTTGCTTACCGCAGTTGAATTCTCAAGTAAGCCATTGAAAACGGATTGTATTAGCCATTTAATAAAGATTGAATAAGTAAACTACACTTACTTTTATTGGATTAGATTGGATTCTTATCGTGCCTTTCCCTTTACATTTCGATGACGCTTAAATAGCAGCACACGTGCAAGGTAAATTTGAAAACTGAGCTTGCGAACGTGTGACTTAATCATGCAACCCCTCAGTCTATGGTGACGGGTTCCTGTACCATCCAACCTTAACTTAAGTCTCGTCTAATAAACTCCTTACGGTTTAAAAAGCACTGTGAGAGGCTTCCTTTTACTTGATGAAAGCTACAATCCTTTACGTTTGCGAAAACTATCTTTCCTTCTGCAAAACATATGGTTTAGAAAACTGTACAATATAAAACAAGCTAACTTATATCATCATATCAATAACAGTTCGTTTGGCGAGCCCAAGCAAAATACGGTCTGCTGGTCGTGTTGAAGTGTGGTTCAATGATACATGGGGAACCATTTGTGACAACTCATGGAACTTACAAGACGCTTCAGTCGTTTGTCATCAGCTTGGATACGATGGAGCTTTATCCGCTCCCGGTGATGCAGCATTTGGACAAGGAACTGGCCAGATATGGCTGGATGACGTTAGATGTGGAGGAGATGAGAAAGACATAGTGCAGTGCAATCACGGTGGATGGGGAGTTCACAACTGTGGACATAACGAAGACGCTGGTGTGGTTTGCCGCCCTTCAGGTAAAGTAACGACTCGCGATCATTACCTATTGCCATATCAATAATTCTCATCCCTTGAGTGACTCAAGAGTTGAAAACGCCAGCCAGTCAAAATTCACTACGGTGACTTGCCTTCTTCCTCTAACTTGTGGGCGATAATCATCGAAGTTGAGGACTCTCCATTCTTCAGTTCGGGCAATGGCTAGATGTAATTGATAATACCGGTGGAGAAAAAATAAGGTGTCACTCTTATACAAAAGGCTTTTTCTAGAATAGAAAAATAAATAGGAGATTGAGTTTTAAGTTTAGTTGTAATATTAAACAAAAAAAATTTAAGTCTTTCACTAAAAGCAATTAAAACCGTGAAAATGGATGAGAGAACTATTTACACCTCTGAAAGGGTATCAAAATCGTCAATGTTGACCTCCATACCTATGGTTATTTTCAAGTTGCGAAAAACAGATTCTGTGCGTGTTCAATTCTCACCGAAGTTTCCTGTTGTAAACAAAGGCTCGGTGTGGTTGACTAGGATCCTTTCATACCTATCGTTTCAACTTAACGATTGACGGTAAATAATTTTTGCAAACATTTCCATCTTTCTTTAATCAAGGACTCGCTGAGAAAATACTTAGAGAAAATACCAATTTCTAGGGTCAAAAAATCTACTTCAAGTTTATTAGTTCCACGATAACCGATTAACTTGTATTTCCATGATAACAGCTATTCGTCTGGTTAATTCCTTCAATTCGTCAAGTTCTGGTCGTGTCGAAGTGCTGTACAAAGGTGTATGGGGAACCGTTTGTGGCGACTCTTGGGACTTGCAGGACGCTGCTGTAGTTTGTCGCCAACTTGGATTGGAAGGAGCTTTAGCAGCATTTCGTGCGTCAGAATTTGGACCAAGAATAGGTCAGATATGGTTGGACGAAGTGCAATGTGGGGGAGACGAGTCATCGATATCAGAGTGTGTTCACAGAGAATGGGGAGATCACGACTGTTCGCATTATTACACCGCTGGCGTAGTATGCCGACCCAGAAGTAAGGCGATGAAACACTTACAAAATAGACCCTTCAAAGTAAGAAATGCACTTTATATCTTGCCTTCGAATGCTCCTTGGAAGTGCTTTTTCTTTAACCAGAGTCAATTGTACTGAACCAAGGCTAACCCTGCTAAACGGGAACTGTAAAGGATCCACTTTCTGCTTCATTTACTTTCCTCGAAACGATCTGATAAAATTTTGGAAAAGGCATTTGGAGAATTCCTCTTTTATTTAATACAAATGTTGTTTCGAATTTACCAACTGCATTTTACATGAAGCTATGTAAATAGACAGATATTAATGGTGAACCATAGAAATACTAAATAAAGTTCGTCAAGTGAGCTACCTTGTCTCTTTTAATAATCATAGTTCGTCTGGTGAGCCCCAGCAATTCACTGTCTTCTGGTCGTGTTGAAGTGTGGTACAATGGTACATGGGGAACCATTTGTGACGACTCTTGGGACTTACAGGACGC